TCACATATCAAGGGCAACAAGGGGGAGCAGGGACCCAGATATCCCAGGCAGGGGGAACAGGCACCCAGGGCAGGGGGGACAATGACACCGACCCAGGGAAAGGGACCCAGGTGTACAGGGAAGTAGGCAGGGGGGCATCCAAGTCCCAATATCCCTTCCTTCCCCCAAAGAGCTGCCCTCCCCCCAGTCCCTCAACCCTTGAAAAGGGAAAGTCACCCTGTTCTCTCCTCCTGCAACCAGACCGAGATTGGGGGGTGGAGGACCCCTATATCACCCCCCCCCCCAAAAAAACCCCTGCCCCTAGCAGAGGGCAGGAGGCTGCAACCAGAGGCCCCCTGCCAGCTGCACCGATTTCTGCTGCTGATTTCCCATATTTTAATAAAAATACATCTGGAAACGTCAAAAAAGAATAAAAATTGGGGAAGGGGGGACCCAAACCACCCTGGGGCTGGGCCCCCCCCGAACTCCTGGGTTCCTTGGATAGCGCCTCGGTGGCGGGGCAGCGAGGAGGGTGGGGTCCATGGAGGTGCTACTTCTTCGCCTTGGGGGGAGGCCTGGAAGGGAGGGAGATGGGGGCAGGTGAGACCCCCCACGATGGGGGATTCTTCGCAGGCAAGCCCCCCTCTACCGCTGCACACAGGGGATCCCCACCTGAGACCTCCCCCACGGATTCCCTTCCCCTGGCACTGGGAAGTTCCTCCACTTCAGACCCCAGTTCTCCACCCCCATCCCTGGAGTGTGGGCCAGGACCCAGTGACCCCCCCGGGCCCTTGGCCATACCGGTAGATGCCCACCACCACAGCGTGGTCACGCTCATAGGGCTCCAGTGTGAGCTGCTCTTGTGGTTTCATGTTCTCCTGCTGCATCTTCTTCACCTCGGCCGCAAACACGGCCTCGGGCGCCGCCGTTGAGTCAATGCAGTTAGCCTGTGACACCCCCAAGGTCAGAGTCAGCCCCCTGGCCCTGCCAGGCCAAAGCCCACCGCCCAACCACACACGCACCAAGCTCTGGTGCGTCCCCCTCCTGAGTCTCCCCAACCCCTACCCTCTAGGCCAAAAGGCTTCCCCATTTCTCCACAGTGGGAGAAAGAACCGAGTCACCCTGGTGCCCAGCTGGGCCTTAATGGCAGCAGGAGCCAACCCAGGAGTCTGATTCCCATGCAGGGGAAATGAGTGGGCTGCAGGTGGGGGGTGGGTCTGTGTCTGGGGGAGAAGGCATGCTCATTACCTTGATGGAGATAACAAAGTGGCCGCCGTTCTTCAGGAAGTTGTGTGCGTTGAGGGCGACAATGCGGGACTGGTCAGGCTGCGCCACATCGGCAAAGATCACATCCACCATGCCTGGAGGGGGGGCATGGTCATGAGTCAGGACCCAGAGATCAGGGGAGGCCGTGATCCCCCAGCAAATCAACTACACCCCCCCCAAACTCCACCTGTCTTGTGATATCAGCACTGGGAAAGGAAACCCAGTTGTCAGGGGAGAGGCAGGTCCCTGAACAGCGTGGGTAGGAAGACCCTGTGCACAGCCGAGCCTCAGTAACAGCAGGAAAAACCCAGGAGTCCAGAGCCCCCAGAGGAGCCCTGACAGGCTGACCCCAAGCCTGGCCAGGCCTCAACAGCGACTGCAGAGAATCCAGGCATCCAGGGGGGGTCTTAGGAGCCCCGATTGGCAGATGCCATGCCCGGCTGGACTTTAGCAGCAGGAGAGAATCCAGGAGTCTGGGGGCTCCCAGGGGGCCCCAATACGAAGACCCCGTGCCTGGGCAGGCTTCAGCAGTGGCTGCAGAGAAAGCAAGTGTCCAGGGGGAGGTGGGGGAAGGGGGTCTCAAGGAGCCCCAATACAAAGACCTGAAGACCAGCTAGACTTTCACTACAGCAACAGAGGACTCTGGAGTCTGGGGGCTCCCAGGACACACCCCCTGCCCCGAGGAAAGCCAATGGCAGGGCCCCCCTGAGTGCAGCCAGACCCCAGGGGAGAACGACTGGCAGGGGGAGGTAGGAGGAGTCAAGGGGGGGAGGGGACCTAGGGGGGACTCACCAATCAGCATGCGGTACTTGTGGGGGTGCCGGGCATCCTCTATGACAGGGATGATGTTGGTGCGTTTCTTGGCCACGTTGATGAGGTCACGGCCGGAGCGGTGGGAGAACTCCACAGCGTAGACCAGGCCCTCCTGGGGGGGGCATGGGGTTAAGATGGAGGGGGGTAATCCCTTTTACCCCCCCCAATCCAGGGTAGGGGGTCCCAGTACTTACGGGGCCCACAATGTCGGAGACATGGGAGACAGTGGTGCCTGAGGCAGCGCCCAGGTACAGCACACGGACGCCTGGCTTGATGTGGATCTGGTCGATGCCCCCCAGGATGGCGGCTGCCAGCTTGGAGCGGAAAGGGTTCCAGGCCCGGTACTCCACCTTGGCCTCGCCATCCTGCCCGGCGGTGGGAAAAGGGAACAAATCGGGGCTGGGGGGGAGGGGATCTGCTCAACCCTTTCCCCAACCCCTGGGGCCTTCTGAGGGCCCTTCCACCCCACCTGGGACTCCTGGGTACCAAGATGCCTTCTGGATCGGCCCCTGGAAGTGGTGTGCCCAGTGCCCTCTGGGACCCTGTAGCCTAGCCTTTCTGCCCCCCAACATAACCACTGGGGGCCCCCCTCCCAGAACCAGCCC